TCTCTCAGCGTCGGCATTACAGTGTGTGATTAAAGCAGCGTCTCTCAGCGCCGGCATTACAGTGTGTGATGCAGTTGAGTGCCAACAAACTGCACTTACAGCCGTCTGTGTTCTTTCTGTCTGTACGTCTTAGTGTTCGGGATGTGCGCTGTATACATGATTGCATAAAGAAAGTGTCTGGTGACATCGTTCTCAGATGTCCACTCCAAGATGTCCAAAGGTTGACTTTTACCAAGATGGTGATAATAAAACGCAATAATAAAATGAAATAAATGGGGGGGGGGGACGAAGGGGACTCAATTTGTATCAGAAATGAGTTAAGGTAGAGCCATGTGAAGGGAATCAGGCTGTGGGTGGGTGGGGGTGCTACTGAGGCTGGATGAGGCTCTGCTGTGGGGGCCGCTCTGGGCACCGAGATGGTAAGCACACCGCTGGACTCTACGGCTCAGATTCCAAGAGCAAAGCCTTCCCAATCCCAGTATGTCTCCAGACATCACCCCTGGTTGGAAACCATGACCGAGCAGCACTGGGTCACCTACGTCAGACATTCTGTCCATCTCTGCATATATTATTAAATTTAGCATTATTTTTATTCTGTTTCTGCTAGAAAGATGGGCTGACATAAGAATACCTTATGATAATAATTAACAGCTTACACTTCTTGAGCATTGTCCCAAATCCTTCACACAGGTCATGTTACCCAACCCTCCAGGGCACCGTGTACATTCCTAGCTATTGCCATTTCTGTGGAGAAACCGAGAGCCCTGATGGGTGAGTAGCTGACTCAAGGCTACAATGAAGTGGTGGATAATCAGACAGCCAAGGTGGAGTCCTTACCTGCTGGCCACAAAGTCTCACACTGCCGAGCCGAGCTCCTAGCAAGAGCATGTAACGAAGCCAATCAGAAACTGATTCATGAGAGGTGACTAATCAAAGCCACGCTGATAAGACTTTGGTTCACTATTTTGGACACATCCTCAGGGAACACCAATGGAGGACCAGGATGGCTGATAAGGTGGAGGGTCAGGAGAAATGAGAGAAATCCTCAAAGAGGTGAACCAATGCAATGGCCCCAACAATGGAGGCCACTGACCGTGAAGATGCTGTGGGGCTGGGCACTGTCTCATCCTGCTACACATAAGGTGGCACCGTCTCGTCCCGTTACATGTAAGGTGGCACTGTGTTGTCCCGCTACACATTAAGGTGGCACCGTCTCGTCCCGTTACACGTAAGGTGGCACCGTCTCGTCCCGCTACAC